GTGGAATGTACTCGCTGATATCAAAGCGATTGCGATACCCTGAAATTCATGAATCATGATGGAAAACAATTGTCAAAAGGACTAATTGTAAGAGGTTGGGTGCTTCATTATCAGCAGTTATTAATGGTAGTTGGAGGGCAAGCCTTCCGGATTACGCCGGACAGAAGGAATCGTCGAAATAGGTAGATGATGGTTGGGTGAGAAAGATGAGACGAAGGAAATGAAGTCAGAAGAGAGTGGAAGATTATCTTTGAAAATAATCGGTGATATCAAAGCGATAGACGCTACCTGAATTCATGAATCATAATGGAAAGGTATCGTCAAAGGAACTAACTGTAAGAGGTTGGGTGTTCTCAGTAGTTACTAATGCTGGTAGGCGAGCAAACCTTCTCTTGTGGAAATGGGTGGATGATGACTGGAGTGACGAAGTCGATACGAACGAAATGAAGTCAGAAGAGAGTGGAAGATTATCTGTGGAATGTACTCGCTGATATCAAAGCGATTGCGATACCCTGAAATTCATGAATCATGATGGAAAACAATTGTCAAAAGGACTAATTGTAAGAGGTTGGGTGCTTCATTATCAGCAGTTATTAATGGTAGTTGGAGGGCAAGCCTTCCGGATTACGCCGGACAGAAGGAATCGTCGAAATAGGTAGATGATGGTTGGGTGAGAAAGATGAGACGAAGGAAATGAAGTCAGAAGAGAGTGGAAGATTATCTTTGAAAATAATCGGTGATATCAAAGCGATAGACGCTACCTGAATTCATGAATCATAATGGAAAGGTATCGTCAAAGGAACTAACTGTAAGAGGTTGGGTGTTCTCAGTAGTTACTAATGCTGGTAGGCGAGCAAACCTTCTCTTGTGGAAATGGGTGGATGATGACTGGAGTGACGAAGTCGATACGAACGAAATGAAGTCAGAAGAGAGTGGAAGATTATCTGTGGAATGTACTCGCTGATATCAAAGCGATTGCGATACCCTGAAATTCATGAATCATGATGGAAAACAATTGTCAAAAGGACTAATTGTAAGAGGTTGGGTGCTTCATTATCAGCAGTTATTAATGGAGGTTGGAGGGCAAGCCCTCCGNAATATATATGGTTATTTTCACAACCTTGGTAGCATTTTAAATGTCGAAAAAATAAGAGTAAAGTGACTATAAATATTTAAGTCGAACCACATTTTAAACGATTTGTTAATTATACTTCTCATAAAAAATAAGTGTTGATATGAAAGACAGAACAAATGAAATACTTTGTCATTTAAACATTGTCACTCTTCCAAAGGTAATTCCATTTCATTTGGACCTAACAATTGGGCACTTACCTCGTTACGCCTCCTTTTCTCTTTCTTCTTTCAAAAAGAAACTACATCTTACTGCAGAATTAAACAAATCTTCAAGGCAACACGTACTCGTAGTCATTGTCATGATAAAAATGCTTCATTCTTAATTGTTCCATTTTCTCCGTTTCGTTATTTTGACGGGAACATAGCCAAAATAGCTGCACAGATCTTCTGGGGGTTCGTCTCATCCGGATACATTTGCATCGCCTGCGATACTTGTTCCTCTGGAAAAATGGCGCTCAGATGATAGTGTAATTTTCTCCTAACGTCCTCCTGTATGTTAGGATGCGCAGCTGCTCCACCTGCAGCATGCGGCCAATGATGGGGCCACACGTTCAGCTGTGGGTCTGAACAGCTAGACACACGTTGCATATGTGCAGCTGCTGCATGTTGCGCATGCGCAGCTGTAGCTGAATTGGGGGGCCAAGCGCGGTACGAATCAGGTGCGGAGGCAATACGCGTTACGTGTTGATGCAATTCCCAATTGGGGTGTCCGGGGGTTAAATAGGGACGTAATTGTTGCGGTAACGCACCAGCACCACCGTGTTGCAGTGGAGGGAGGAAACGAGCTCGTACGAGCCGCGGGTCAGAGTTTGGATTGAGCGTTAATTGTCTTTGTAGTTTCTTATGAAGATTCTCGGTCCCGGAAGCAGCCGGAGGTGGCGGATACGTACCACCCACATTATCGACACTACGACTTTTTGAAACGACCGCATGTTGAGTGGTTTCTTTGGGGGGAGGCACGTTAGATCGCGTGCGACCGAGAGGAATCTTACGTGTCTCCCCTTCACGAGCTTGCAAATGACGCTGCGCATGCTCACTTAGTCTCTCCGTCACGCTCTTGTGCGGTAATGGACCCCGTTCTGGATGATGGTACTTGCACTTGTTACCATACGTACACTTTTTCGCGTAGGGACACGGCGGTGGCGGTTCGCTTTTCTTCGGTTGGCAACGAAGGAAATTGTCCAGTGTTGGTCCAGAACGTCCAAGGGGGTCGTCAGGAGGCATGAATCGATCGTTAACAAAAGAATACATTAGGATGCGTTCTTCTACTACTTTGCGAAACTCTGCATTTTCTTGGGACAAGTCGCGGTAGTTATCGTTACTGACAACCACCCCATCGACCTCTGCGGCTAGTTTGAGAATATATCGATCGTCGTAACACACCATCCTCTTACCTCCGACGAACCGGGAGGGGGTAAAGACCAGCATACGTTCTTTTTCGAGTTCAGCGAGGATCTCCTGGTCGCGGACGGGATTGTCGGGTCTCGGGGCTTCTTTTCGCCATTTTGGAACGAACACCGTTATGTCTTTGTGTCCTCGTGCCTTAAACCAGTCTACCGCGATCTTAATACCACGACACGAAAATAGTTCTTTGTTTCCATGACTAAATAGGGATAAATACACAGAAATTAAGTATAGTAAAAAACCCCATTTAGTATGTACAAAAAAAAAATAATAAAAACTGCAGTACCTCATTGCAACGTTACTTCCATCGATAACAATCGGCCTCAGCACTTGTCCGGTAGCAGTAGAAAGGTCGCTTTGAAACTCGGCTGCTATATCGGTGGGTCCATCTGTTGGGCTGCTATCGCAAGAAGAACTGCTCCTCTGGGCACCCAATTTTATCAATTCGGCCAGAAGTTCATTCTGAGCAGGTGACGGGCCTAATTTTAAAAGGGCTGCTTGAACAAGCTTCTCCGTGTAACCCAGTTTTAACGCAAACTCCACTCTATTACAAATTACAAAGTTAAACATTCTCTTTTTATTAATACATTAAGAGAAAAAAATTGTAATTTTTTTTAATCACGATTTTTCGCATTATAGTCCAGCCAAATGAGGAAATGACTGAAGAGTACCTTATAATGGAGAAAATGATTGAAACACGGGTCATTTTAAGATTTCAGATTTAGGTAAGTTACGAATCGATTAAATTATCGATTTTAAATTTTTAATAATTATTTTGAATTTTTTAATGATTTCTGCGAATTTTGAGGCCTCTGCCATTGGGCGCGCATAACATTTGTTCTATAAGAGATACGAAAAAAGTCATTAATACTTTTTTTTGCAAAATGGCACTGTGAAAAACTTATTGAAACTTTTTTTCCATATCTTTTATATTTCGCGAGATAATCGAATCTGCAATTGTTTATGAGGGTTTTCTCCCCCCCCCCTATGCCAGGCAAATAATTTTCATTTACATATTCGTGTTCCTTACGAAATTTTCAATCATTTTCTCTATTATAAGGTACTCTTCAGCCATTTCCCTCCTTTGACTGGACTAAAAGTCAATAGATACAAATGTACCAATTCTTACCTAGCTGTATATCCTGGGGTGTGTTCGGGGGCGGTTTGGACATAGTCAGAATATTCGGCTGCGAGAGTATCGCTAGTCGTCCTGGACACATCTTGGTGGTTCGCCAAAGGTTCTGCTTCATAATCGGAATCGTAGCTTGAATCTTCACCCGTTACCACCCCCGAACAACCTTCTCGACATATTTCATCCACATATTTCTGAAAAGAAGTCAATATTTTACCTACGATATGGACAAAAAAATTAATCACGATTTATTAGGTATCATGTTACTAATTTGTAATTAGAGATTTATAGTTTCAATACAAACGTTTACTACTTCGAGCATAATTACCTATTACAGGTGTTTTTTTTTTACAAGCAAGCGAAAGATGTTTATTTACAATTTAACATCTCAGTTTTAGTCGTTAATTACTTAACTGTTACATACAGTGCAGATCGAAATCCAAAATATCATTAATTAAAAAGCGTAATAGTCTTAAAATATTTATAACGAATACATTGTATCATTCTAGTAACCGTATTATCTGTATTGTCCGAATCAACTAATCAACTGTGTTTATTTTTATAACTCGGGTTTTCCTTGGTTATTGGAAAATCTATATCAAAATTTATTGATCTAATAAAATTATTCCTGTTTTGGATGTTCCTTTAAAAATAATCGATAGTTTTAAAGAATATTATTTACGATAGTAAAAGGTCTTCAACCGAATAAACGAGGGGTAATCCCATAAAAATATGCACACGTTGACGTAGGTAAATCCAACATTATTATTGCAAATCCATACACAAGTCACAAAACCAGTTTTTTTTTCGCGTATTTATGTATGCATTTTATATGGGTATATAAATACGAATATTCGTAGCAATATCAGATGTCATCAACGTTTACAATCATTTTCTTTCAATTTTCAATTCATTCCTCTATATATAAGTTGCGTTCTAATGATATTGCTTAAAAAATATTCCTATTGAGCGCCAAACTGTCTTAGGTACAAAGAAAACTTCTTTTTGCGTAATTGTTAAAGGAAAATATTGCAATTTTTGTTTAGTATAAATTTTTACTGAAATTAAAATTTTTTATTTTTTAAATTTCCCCAACAGTTTGAAGAAAATTCTCTGTCCCATACAATTTGTCTGATAACTCCTAGCTTTTGAGCACTGCAATAATTGCATTTCTTTTTTAATTATTTGCGAACTAATCATTTAAGTTTCTGAAGTAAAAAAAGTACATAAGACACAGTTTAAAATTATAATTATACCTTTAATACATACATTGATGGAACCCATAAAACAAGAGCAAAACAACTGTGTGGTGCTTAACAAAAACTGTTACAGAAAATGCAACGCAATGTTTTCTTGCTTCCCTTTGAAAAGGTAATTTCGACTGAAGGCTGGATTAGCAAATAAAACCAAATAGGTATCTAAATAGTGATTGAAGCTTGGAAATTCCTTTAAAAAAGACAATTCGTATGTCTGTCTATTTGTATTTAAATAAATTAAATACGTTGACATTCTCACGACGGAATTACCTTTGTAAAGAATGTCATTAACTTCTGCAGATGGATTTTTTTAACTTGCTAACTAAAATAAGTAGCATTCTAAAAGAATACTAATAGTCCATAAAAAAGAAAGAATTAAAAAAAATCACAGCGCAATTACGAATGGAATATTTAGAAAATAATTAAAATCTTTTGATTTTATAACAGCCCTTTCACCAGGAGTGGGAAACCTTTTTACCATTAGAAGATGCGACTTTTGTGAAATTATTATATGTAGTTTGACTTTAAATTCCAGGCTATGAAACACAATCATGGTTGAAGACCATTGTGATTCATGTCGTGCTTACCGATCTTATAAAATTTTCTAATTGGCCTTAACAACACGAATATCTGTTGCTAAGCAAGGGTCCTACTATAATTCAATATTTCGGCATAGATACCTTCGAAAGCCCCTTGTCCAAGAAAAACATACGAAATACTTTATTTAGCAACAGATATTAATATATGGACTATATTCCATAAATAGATATCTATTTGCTCATAAAGATTCCTTCGATTGGATCGGTGCCTATAGCGTGCTAATGAGATCTAATAAGATCGAAATCGCAATCTGGAGTTTCAATAAATTAAAGACCAAGAACTTATATACAGTCGATTTCTTGTATAACAACAACGAAGGGACCACTGTAATTTCGTCGTTATATCCGGAAGTCGTTACAAGCAAAGGTACAGAGATACAGACACGAATATATAGTTTTCACCATTTTCCAATTTTCAAACGATTTCCCCCTTTTTATAACAGTAAATGTGCATCTAGGAGTCATACTTATTCAAAAAATTGCTAAACAGGTGCTACTCAGAATATCACTTTGTAACTGAACTATTTTAACATATAACATCTATAAACAAACGATAAAGCCGTTGAGACTTCTCTCATAAGAAATTTGTAGAATGTTTTAAAATGCTACAATATTGAACTTTATGATAAAAAGTTCTAACATTCGATACTGAAACAGTTTTTCCATTTTTATAGTTTCTTATTACTACTTTATTTTTAGTTGTACAGTAGTTACAATGCTCACTGAGTCATGTCTTAAAAAATTCCGGATCAATCTAACTAGATAGTTAACTTTTTCCTAATTATAATTAAATTTTGGGCGTTCGAACGGTGCACGTAGATACAGCAAGAACTTTTAATTAAATGTTTTGTCAACTCTTTTTCTGTTCGCCATACGGATTTTCCACGAAACAATGAAAATTTCAATCGAAAATAACGGACGAGATTCCTAAAGTAAAACGTTTCGTCGCAAGAGGAGACTCTTACCTCTCTTATTACGGTCATATCTCGACGTACTGCCAAGCGAAACCGGATCTGCTTATTTATCCATGTTAACACACAACCGGCCAAGATCCTGGTTCACATTCGCCTCTTCACGTTAATTATAAACACTGCGGAACCGACGACGCTAATTAACTTGTACAAACACCTCGAATACAACAAAGTACTACGTACAATCACTTATTCTTTTTTTGTTTTACTGTCATTCTTGTTTTTTTTTCTCTCCCGTAATTAATTTGTTCTTGAATAAATTGTTTTCTTCAGTGGCACGAAATAAAAAAAAAATCGCTGATCAGCACTGCGTTTAGATAAAAAGAAAAAAAAAAAAAAAAGAGGAAAACGGTATGCGATTAGAGCTCATAAACTGTAATCAACAATCGACGATCGTTCGTTTGTTGTTAAGTTCGCGGAGGCCAAAAACAAACCAACCGGACACTACGAACTAGATGATACTGGTGAAGATTGCACTGTACGCACGCACGGCCTCGTGTTATTGCGATGGATAGACAACGGACGGCGGATTCTCGTCGTCTTCTTCTTTTGTCGAAGGGAACCACCGCCGCGCCGGTGTCTCGTGAATTGAGAATGTCATTATCATCGCTGAAATATCGAAGTTTACTTTTGCCAGACCTAGATTCGACCGGACCTGGTTGGCTTGTAACATAGTGGTCGATGAGAAACGGGGCGAGGAAAAAGAGAAAACACAACGCGCGACATGACTTCACTTACGGAAGTGTTAAAGTAGGCGGGCGGTTTTGGACAAGTCTCTTTTAAACCCGCTCTCTTACCCACTATTCATTAATAACAACAAACAGAACGATTTTATAGTATTAAAATATTTAGACACTCACTGATAGCAGAGCGAAAACGATACTACTTGTTACGATCATGAATCGTCAGAGCGACTAATTGTAAGAGATTGGGAGTTTCATTGTCAGTAACTACTAATTCTGGTGGGCGAGCAAACCCTCTCTTGTGAAAATGGGTGGATGATGACTGGGGTGACGAAGTTGATACGAACGAAATGAAGACAGAAGAGGGTGGAATGTACTCGCTGACATCAAAGCGATTGCGATACCCTGAAATTCATGAATCATGATGGAAAACAATTGTCAAAAGGACTAATTGTAAGGTGCTTCATTATCAGCAGTAATTAATGGTGGTTGGAGGACAAGCCCTCCGGATGACGCCGGACAGAAGGAATCGTCGAAATAGGTAGATAATGGTTGGGACGAGAAAGATGAGACGAAGGAAATGAAGTCAGAAGAGAGTGGAAGATTATCTGTGAATATAGTCACTGATGATATCAAAGCGATAGACACTACCTGAATTCATGAATCATGATGGAAAGGTATCATCAAAGGGACTAACTGTAAGAGGTTGGGTGTTCTCAATAGTTACTAATGCTGGTGGGTGAGCAAACCCTTTCTTGTGGAAATGGGTGGA